CGTTCGGACGAAGCGACAACCTGAATGCCCACTACACCAAGACCCACAGCAAGCGCGGCGGTCGCAACCGATATGTGGCGACTCTGGATGAGACGAGCCCCGACTTCGATCCCGACTTCCGCGGGCAACTCTCCCAAGATGGTCGGCCTATCTACGGGTCAAAGCTGGAAGACGTCATCCCCGACACTCGCGAAGTCAGTGTCGACGCCTGGGATGACTGAAGTACATATTCCTACTGGAACAAGCATGATACCCCATGGCATGTCCGCTTGCCAATTTCCTTCTGTCGTTAGATGGGCACAGATATGCAGGGCCAGGCGAACCTCGGTCGGCGCGTTGCGGCGTTTCATGTAAACCATGTCCTGGCACTGTTTACTGGACCGCTTGTGCTTTATTTCCTATTTATGTTGCATACTTTTTTTATTTCCTATCTATCATGTCCATTTGGTGAGGCTTTTTACATTTCCTCCAAACTCAATCGTCTTTGTTCATTGCTCATCTTTCCTTTGTTTGTCCTTTTATTCTTTTTTTTCCTTTCTTTTCTTTTTTCTTTCCACCTACAAAGGTCGAATAATTTTGCATCACTCGGACAGGATAAAAATGGAAAAGGGGGGGGACGAGGGAAGCATTGTATGATCGTGTTGCTTCCGATCTGACAGATCCACTAAATCACTCATCATTATATGAGATAATACCAGCCATATACTATATGTTATTTGAACAACTCCGCCAGCGGTACCCAAAAAGAAACCCGAACCAAGTAAAAAGCAGTAAAAGCAGACTCGTCTTCTGACAGCTATCATCCATCCACATCCGCTTTGACATTGTTGTATAGCGGGCCACGAAGTTAGTGAGTGATTCGTGACGCATCAGCTGCCCGCTGCAAGAGCCCCTCAGCCTGACGAAGTCCGATCTGGCGGCGATCGTTCCTTGATTGCCCCGTAGGCGATGAGTAGATGGCGCATGGAAGCCGTACCGAAGTCAGCAAGACCATGACACGTCATAAACATGAAGTGTGCATTGCTGGAAGGTAGCCATTCCCCGCCTCTTTTTTCACTTAACACTCCTACTTATTCCTTGAATTTATGATTTGTTTATTTATTTATTGATTTTATTAATATCATCGTTATGAGACTGTATATTACCTATACCAATCCAACCCCCCAATCTCCCACCAAGTAATTCCAAACGCAGAGCAGAGTCGATCAGCCGACGATCGATATCAGACGGTGTCATATACGACGCACGGGTGTACTGCCGGTGTCATCCTTCAGGGCAGTGATTGACCGTCGATCCGCGATCATTCCCGCAGTGGGTTCATTTCCCAGGGGTGCTGTTTGTTTGGTTCGGTGTCTAGTCGTGCTCCACATTCCGTCTTGTCTTGGATGAGAGATGTGCTTATCTTATTGGTGGGTTACCAGTAGACTGGGTGCCTACTAGATAGAAGTGACTGGTGCCCGAGAATGGGGCAACATTGTAGTACCTAGTGACCTTGGCTGTAGTAGCAATAATAGGTATCTGGGTGTCTGGTCCTCGTACGGAGACTTTGACCTCATTTTGTCTACTTATTTCAGCCACCTAGCTGTGAGGTATGCCTACTAAAGGCCAATGCTACTGAGTGACGGGTGTGGGCAGGAAGGTGGGTAGTATTGCAGTTGCATTTCCATTGCGTAGTAACGGTGTCTATCTACCGCTGTCTTGTCCATGATGTATGAGCATGGTTTAGGTGAATAGGTAGGTAAGGTGGGATCTGCGCATACATTCAGTGACATACATACATACATGCCGTATACTGGGTCTTAGTGGATAGATCGACACTAGCTCTTGATTTGCGCTGCACTATGGAGTACGACTGGGTACTACCCCCGTCAGGTTAGTGGTGAGGATCACTGCCAGGTTGTGGTTGCCTTCAAGTAGATATAATATTTGGATTGTTGGTCTTTAATTACGGAGTAATGGATGAGGGCATATTTGGTGGTTTTTGCTTAATAAGATAGGGTTACAGAAAATATAGCAAAAAGCACCTTCGACAATAACATTAACAGCAATAATACTAATGGTAATAGAGAGTAGTAATACAGAATAATAATGATACTAATAATAATACTAAAAGAAGAATGAACGCCACATGATTGGGCCAAGAATCCCGGATACCTGGATATTCATGGAGCTTAACGCCGCTAATGGTCCCACATGCCAGGATATGTATTTCTATTTCTTGAAATCGCAGGTTGTGTCGTCTTATTTATTTATTTTCTTTCTGTCTTGGTTCCTAAAACATCAATATATAAATAGGAATGAGCTAGATGGATTTATCTGATCTACATAAATAAAAAAACACCTAGCACTACCGTCATACACCTTGAGTCTACTTCAAGGGCAAGGTGCCCGACAGCCTAACGCTGCGGGTCGATCACCAGGAGTACTGTACCTAGTATCCGTAGATCACTGGCACTAAGCCACCTACTCCAGATAGCACCTACTCCAGATAGCATTTCAATGTCTGGGAAGTATCTGTAGCACCTTCCCATTTGTTACACCGAGTAGTCCGTAGTTCGTTGTACTAACCCCCACTGCCACGCCCCAAGAATGCGCATATCCCTATCCCTGTTCGGTGTGATGTCGCACTGCAGCATCTCGCACAGATGATCGACGGCAGTGAACTATTCGGCTGGCCTGGTATCTTGGCAGGAGGCCCATACATTTATCTGATTGGCAGGGTCTTTTATCCATTATGTGGACGTGCTTCGTGGGCTGACTATCTGCTAATAGACTAATCTTGGGAAGGAATTCGGAGACTGGACCTGCAGAATTGCAAATAAATCTCTCTTACTCTCTCTTTTGGGTATATAGTCTTGCGCTAGTCGGATTTGAGGATGGATTGTGGGGTGAAGGAGGTGCAGTGCAGTGCAGCGTGTGCCCTGAATAGGGGACGGGGCGGTGTTGTGGAAAGTTTGGATGTAGGCACTAGACTGAATACAGATATTCTGCTGTAGTGCCCATTACAGCAGGTTATTGATGGAATCACAATAGGTTAATTGTGCCGAGTCTGGCGGTGTGGTCGCATACCAACCATGCATGCCGACTTCGCCGATACTACCTCGCTATGTATGTGTGTACTTTCTGCCTTCGGTAAACAAGCTTCGCCGGAGCTCTCGGGCCTCTGCGTCATTAAAAAGCAATAGCTCGTGGGCTAATGAATCAATTAAGCCAATTAATGGAACGGCCGTTGGTGTTGTACTCGTATAGCATGCCAAGGCATGCACCTCGAGAATCCGGCGGTATCAATCAATTGCACGGTAGTAATCCTACTAGATATGCATCCATGATCTCATCTACAACGACCAGCCACCCAGGCCTACCCTGAAGGTTAAGTTCCGTGCGGTTGTTGACTATTCCCAGCCTATCGTGCCGTGGATACTGCGTGGAAAATCTCGGGAAGGCTGAGAGAAAGCGGATCGAAGCCGTGGAATGCCAGGGATGGCCAGCTGGCCGGCCTGGTCGTGCTCCATCCTGGTATGCATCATGTGCTACCACATCTGACTAGGCTGGCTGAGTACATTAGGTTCTTATCCAGAACTGGAGGTAGCCTGAGACAGTAATTTACCAAGCAACTCACGATCCCCTCCTGGTCCTCCTATTTGGCTGCCCTTCTTCTTCATGCGGCGGGGACCTGACCGGAATGGTTTGAACTCGGGGACAGTACCTAATTTCCCATGAGTTTCTCAATGCAAGAAAAAATAAATAAAAATAGATGATCAAAATAGTCTCACCGACTCCTTCTGTCGATCCACCTACTCTGGTTCTGGTGTTGTGCTCTTGAGCCCTCTTGCTCTAGCCCTCGTGACCTCGTCCTTCCGTTCAGTGTGGTTTCTATTTCCATTTTCAGTTTCTTATCAATCTTGCTTCTACAATTATTCCCCAAACCTCGATGTCGTCAGACAGGGTCCAAGGCAAGGCAACCACTGATAGCTGAAGATAGCCAGCTTCCGTGATGTGCCCCTAGGCCAGGATTGACACAAAATCACCACACATACAGAGAAAAGAATAGCCACTACCCCAGACCAAACTCATTAATTCAATCTTCAAGCCAAGTAAGTACCACACCAACGTACTAACTCCCATAGCAAGAAGTCTGGATCCCCACTTTGTGATATGTGATCTCACATGCGGCCATCTGGAAAATATTGGGTCGATAGTCTGCCTGAAGCCTCCTCTCGGTGTTTGGTGGGACCTTGTAGGGGAATTTCTGAGGGACATTGTCCGGAAGGATCAAAAGAAATCAAGTTTTTCAGCCACGAAAGTGTGGCCGTCGTCTCGCACTTGGCAGGACAGCAGGTTTGAGGGCGCGTCGGTTGGTTCTCATTTCAATTATTGCGTTGAGACTTTGGTACGATTGCGAAGCTAGTGTTAATATCTGGATAGTCTGGATAGTCCCAACGGTCTCGAGAGGCTTAACTTACTGTATCCAAAAAAGCGGACAGATGAAGAACTTATTGAGGTATATTGAAGCCTACTGTTGACGACAATGGAAACAAAGGGTATTGTTCTATACACTTATGCAGTGCACAGTGTCCGTATTAGTCACGTGCATAACTATGGCCGGTTGAAAACGCACTAAATTAGCGCGCTTACATAACCTCGCCTTTATAAGCCCACATTCGCGAAGCAAATTCTTCACCTTCCAAGCAACAGCATTTATCGTGCGTTTCTCAATAATGGCCTCCGAACCACGTTGAAAGACTGTATCCAAGCGATATAGTACTTTGTACTTCACGCCTAGGATGTTCATTGATCGAGAGTCAGGTCTACAGCCTGTTAATGTGCAGGATTAAGACCCTCCGAATATGAACCCATAACCGACGCAAAGCAAAGCAAAGCAAGAAAACAAACGTCTCGCATTACTATGATGACTCTCCTTCTTTCTGGCACGATGCAGACTCTGCAATGGGTGTCCATTAAAATATCAAGCTCAACAGTCTGAGTTCCATCGAGACGTTTGTTTGCTTGCCTTGTCTTCGGATATGATCGGTTCATAAAACTTTTTCCATATAGCTGCTATACAATCAATATATCATACCATGACCGTGCAAACCGAATCTAAGAGAGTAAAATCAAAGAAGCAGATCAAGACAAATCCAGTCCTAAAAACAACGTCCCCTCCAACGGCGTCTCATAGTAAGCCACGATCTCCCGAAACCCAACCCGCCGGTACAACCCAATCGCCCCCGCCATCATAGGGAGCGTATCGAGCCGCATCTCTCGATACCCCAGCCCCCTCGCCCGCTGCACAATAGCATCCACCAACGCCTTGCCCAGCCCCATGCCGCGCGCCTCGGACGAGACAAACAGCCGCTTCATCTCACAGCATGTCGCCGTGGCGTTTGCGTTTGCGTCCACATCCACGCCGGGCTTGGTGGGGAGCGGGCGGACGGCCACGCATCCGAGGGGCTGGTCGGGCTTGGTGGTGCTATATGCGAGGAGGATCTCGCCTTGAGGAGCGCTGTATTTTCCCGGGAGGGATTCGAGTTCCTCGGTGAAGCCTTGGAAGGTGAGGTCTAGGTTGAGCCACTCGGCGTAGGCTGTGAAGAGGGCTTTGGTGGCGGTGATGTGGGCTGGTGTTTCAGCGGGTGTGATGCGGAAGGGACGCGCCTTCATAGTCTCTTCCATCGTTTCTTGATACCTAGTATATGTGCGGAGGAATATAGGCCTTGTTCAATCTCGTGGATGTATGCGATGCGGATGGATGTTGCGTCACGTTGCCCGGGGTCAACTGATGATTGGTTGCGAGCCTGATCACGAGTTGAGATTGTGCTATAGGATTGGTCTATGGATAGTGTGAGTCTTCAAGTCGTTGGAGATTCGAAGCACTTGTCGCCCCATATCACATCCAGTTGAGCCTGGTCAGTTTGCTGATATCGCCGACTGTGAGTCAGAGCTTGACTCATAGACGGGTATATGACAGTCAACAAGCACATGATTCAGGTGTGAGGAATGCTGCAGATAAATCTCGACAAAAAATGAAGATATTGGGACATAGCTATTAGGCTAAGATGATCGTAGTGTCGATATTGGTATGGGCCTGAGACCCTAAGCCAACAATAGTAGCAAATCGCGGCTGAAATAATCCTCTCCTATTGACTTGCAGGCAATCGTCACGTCAGTCTTCTGGTCCAAAGTTCGTTATGTTTTTTGATCTGTATCTTCAAGGTGTTTCAAGGGACACGGACCCATTTCTGATCTGATAGATCTTGTTAACATGGGTGTAGTCCATATCTGTGGATGACTTCAACCTCTTCATATTGAGAATCTCCGTCAGCTCAGCCACTGACGCCCGAAGTGGACGAGACAGCCCACTAACCCGTCGAGCGAAGCTTATCGTCCGGTTTTATTTTGATTGATGGCCTGTCAAGCATAACCCCTGTCTCCAGTGCGGGGGTAAGTCTCCCAAATGCAACTCCATCTTCGTATCATACCCTGCCTGAAGTTGTGGGCAGAACGTCCTAATTAAACACTGTCGCGCAAGCTCCCCGTTGAGAGAGACTGTTAGTATGCTTCCATTCTATTTACAAAAAGGTACTGTACGAAGAAACCGTTGTTGATTCGCTTGATTCCGCGCAATCTGACAATCCAGAGTGAAGCTGTCAATCAGTTTCACGGAAATCCTATGACGATCACTTCACCAAACACAACGAAACAAATGCAAGATACAGCGAGGAAAGACTACACGATGCAACGCTTTGATACATGGTCCTGGATTTAGATGACCCTGGGGTACTCCGTGATCATCAATTCCCTAATTCAGCGTTATGGTGCACTCCGTTCCCGCCCAGTGCCTGAGTCTCGTCCGATGGCCCCCCGACGGCCATCGCCGGACGCTAACTGCAGACGAGCGGCGCGTCGCGCCATTGGCTGGGCCCTGTTTTAGCACGAGATTAACCAAGAGACGAAGAGTCTGGAAAGGTGACATCCGATCGTCCATTGCCTTTGGGATCTCCGCTTCAATCACAACTCCTGCCGAATCAGCAGGCGCTTACCAGAACATGTGACGTTGTCTGCAACGTTCGATGTTAATTGTCCGCAGCGCTGGCCAAGTCGCGGTCAGACATATGGTGGCGTGAACAATAGGAAAGGAAAAGACATAAATTGAGCCATGTGCCGGCCATCCCCCAATTCGTATTGTTCCTAGGCGCCCCTCCCCCACAACTCGGTCGCTATCATTGACGAAAGCCACAATCCGCCAATATGACCGCTACAGTATCGAAGCCGATGGGCATCTTTGCCCTCAGCACCCTCGTCGCAGGTGTCCTGGCTGGCCCTCAAGCCTGCGAGGCCGACACCCCGCTCAGCTGCCAGGGCGACGCCAAGGCCAGCTGCTGCTTCAATGCGCCTGGCGGTGCGCTTCTGCTGACCCAGTTCTGGGATACCGACCCGGTGACCGGACCCAAGGATTCGTGGACCCTCCACGGTCTCTGGTTAGTCAGACCCTGTTAGCCCTTGCAATGTGACTGCATTTACTAACAGCATGCTAGGCCCGATAACTGCGACGGCACCTACGAGTCCAACTGCGACAGCAGCCGTGAGTACTCGAATATCACGGATATCCTCGAGGGCCAGGAGCGGACCGAGCTGTTGGCCGATATGAACAAGTACTGGAAGGATTACAAGGGAGATGACGAGACCTTCTGGAGCCATGAGTGGGACAAGCATGGTACGTACTACTCCCCAACTAGGCCTGATTGTCTGTTTTGGTGGATATAGTCACTGACATACATGATGCAGGCACTTGCGTCAACACCATCGAGCCTGACTGCTATGAGAAGTACACCCCCCAGGTGGAGGTGGGCGATTATTTCCAGAAGGCCGTCGATCTGTTCAAGAAGTTGGACACCTACAAGGTAGGCTCCACCCGATAGACTCACAGTCTATCAATCCCAAAGCAACCATGCAAAGAAATAAGAAGAAATACCGGAGATGCTGACCTCCAACGCAGGCCCTCGCCGATGCTGGCATCAAACCCGATGAGTCTAAGACCTACAAGCTCTCGGAGATTGAGGCTGCCTTAGCCAAGCTGCACGGCGGCAAGAAGCCCACCGTCGACTGCGACAGCGGCGCCCTCAACCAGGCCTGGTACTTCTACAACGTCCAGGGCAATGCCATTGACGGCAAGTACGAGCCGGCTGAGCCTCGTAAGTTCCATACACATTTCTTTCCCAACGCCTTTCGGGCGTACATGAGCAAAGTGCTGACTTGCCATAGTGGCCGATTCTGGTTGCCCTAAGGACGGCATCAAATATCTGCCCAAGTAAATTACCACGAGTGCCACGATTCCTGTGAGGCGGTCCCCGGCAAGAAAAGCGTACGGGCTTTCCCAGTGGGTGCGAAGTGATCAATCCAGCTCTTTTGAGAGCGGGTTGTAGCAGATCGGTAAACTCTGACGGGCTTTGAGATTCGATCGGGAAAATATGTATGTATTGGCTTAGCTGGAAACCGCATGTGACCTAGTATTAGATTCATGAAGACCATTGAAACACTGAGAGCTGTACAAATAAAAAGCCCACTGTATACCACTTTTTGACCCATCGAGATTCTAAGCCACCAATAGTATAATTGCCACCGTCAAGCTTCGTCCCAGAGTACTATTGACCGAAGGGTAGTACGCGCAACCTCTGCTCGTATACTGCGGTTGTATTCGACGGTTTGCTAGGATTTGAGTAGCAACGATTGTTTCTTTGTTCTCTTTAATAAGACTTTGGTCATGATGGTTTCGAGACAATGATATCTCTAGCTGGAAATGTCCACAGTCCATTCGGAATCTTTCTTCGCGTAGAAAAAACCCTTATAGTGTGACATGATCGAGGAATAGGAAGCCGCAGCCCACGCAAACCAGAATGAAAGTTTCCGTGTTGTCTTGCAATTTTTGCGACACTCTTTCAGGACTGAGAATTGTCCGCAATTGGACATGCGCTGTGGTTGGGCAGGATACAGGATATTTGATCATGCCTGCTTGTTCTGATGCCGTGCCAACTCGACACTATTGGATGGTTGCCTGTACACACGTTTAAGTTATCAACCAAGTATACTGGACCTTTCGTGGAAATCCAATAGATTTGTTGGGTTTGTTGTTGGGCAATTCCGGAAATATTGGTCTCGGGGCGACAGGGCTACCCGTAGGCGGGATAAACGAGTACACCCACGAGTTCATCCCGCAGCCATCTGCTATGGATAAGGGCCATAGGGCCATTCCACTGGAAGGACATCTTTGGTGTATCCAGTAGAAGTAAAGACGTAAACAGGAGTCCGTAAGAACCCCTAAATCCCCTTCAAACGGACATTTCTCCTGTCTTCGTCCTCCTTGGCGCCAACACGGTCCAAGAAGTCCATACGACCAAGGAAGCCCTCTTTGGCTCTGCTGTGGACGGTGAGCTCGTCCCGGATGCCAGCCTGATCCACGTATGCAGCCCAGTCCAAGCGCGACTTCTCGACCGTATTGATCTTCGGGCCACGAGCATTCTCCTCCTGGCCTGTCGCATCGATCGGCTGCTTCTCCCAGCTTTTTTTGATGGCTCCAGTGGGGTTAGGATCAAATCGCGAGACCTTGCGAAGTGGCCTGCGCAGTTTGATGCCCGGTATTCCATTCGCGTCATCCTCAGCATTAGTGGCCACCGCTCCTGGATTATGTTCGTTTGCTAGAAAGAGCCTTGCTTCGGCCGAGTCCTTCGGAACGACCTTCTCTTCGGTGATCATCTCCCCTGCAAATTCATACGTCCGTTTGATCTTTATCATCTCATCCGTATGCTGGGGTTTCTGCTGTGTCTCCTCGGTTGGTGCTTGCTGCTCGCGCATGGCGGTGTCTTGTCTTTCTCCGTCCGCCATGTTATCGTCTGTTTTCTCGGTATGCGAAGGTGCCGCGGGGGAACCGGAATCGCGTTCGTTCATTTTGGCCCATAACGCGTCAACGTCGACTGTTGCGCCATCGATCTTAGCAAGTGGTTTTCGTTCTTCCTTCCTATAAGCAATATAGTCAGAATAGTTTCTTGTGATCCACGATCCAACGAACCTACATTTGCATCTTCATGGCGCGTGTCCGTACAAACCCTCCCGGGCCACCCTCGTCGTCGTCGAGATCCAGATCGTCTTCATCGTCACCTTTAGCCTTAGACTTGTTTCCCTTTCTTTTTTTCTCTTTTCTCGATTTTGCTTTCTTTATCGTGACTTCGTCTCCGGAATCTAGCGCAGCGTCTTCTGTTTCGGCCTTTCGTTTCTTGCTGGCCTCCTCATCGGAATCGGAAGACAACACCTCATCATCCTGGCCGTCGAGCTTGAAGTCTTCGTCCGCCTCCGAGTCATATTCGTCGTCATCTATCTCCATCTCAGGATCCTGAGATACTGGTTTGGCTGACATTGTTGCGCAGAGATAAGGGAAAGCAGTGATCGAATAATTAATTGAATCTTCATCGAGGGTAAAGCTGGAAACCGATGCGATAAAAGGATTCTGCCAGGCGGTGTGTGGGCCCAATCTACGCATGTTATGTAAGTAATCTTGACCAATCATCAATGACTATTCGAGTACCGAGGTATATTATGGTGGAGAAGGGTTCAGGTACGTTCGCGATCAACTTACACCACCAGCCTAGCATCTACGCTGTATGCCACCAGCTCTTCGGCATGTTTTATATTCTGAGATAATACCATATGGAGCGGCTAAATCAGGGCAGGCATCCAGCCCACCTGGAGCCACTGGAGCTTGAGATTCTAGAGCGGAGAGATGCCTTCGGCTTGCCCCCCAAGGCTATCTGCGACGTCTTGGTGGATGTCTTCTTTAGATGGGTATCTCCAATCTTGCCCGTGGTGAATCGGCATGATTTTATGAAACACTATCACCATACTGAAGAGCGTCCGTCGATTCTTTTGCTGCAGGCAATGTTCACTGTGGCATCTAGATTCATAACGGGTCAACAAAGTCAAACAGTTACAGCAGTTTCACCGCGCTGGTTCTACAAGAAAGCGAAGGCACTGTATGATGCTGGATATGAGCAGGATCTCCTAACTGTCATACAGTCTGTGACACTTCTGGGGGTCTACTGGGATGGCCTTGATGGTAAGATATCCTACGAGTTAGTTGTTATGAAGTGTTGACCTGTCATAGATCTGACAGAAAGTGGTCTCTTTTATTGGAGTCGGCTGGGGATTGCATTAGCACAGGAACTAGGGTATCACGAGAGGTAACAAGTAATCAGGTTTCTATAAATTGCGAATGCTCACACATCCTGCAGAGAAAAGTATTTGAATCTCAGTCAGCCAAAGCAAGGTCTGTGGAAGCGCATCTGGTGGACTCTTTACACGCGAGACCGCTCTGTTGCTGCAGCTTTTGGTCGCCCACTACATATACACGCGGATGACTGCACAGTGGAAGAGTTGACAGAAATCGACTTTGTCGAGCACGACGAAGAGCTCCAAATCGAGTACCCTACTGATGAACTCGGGGCGCGATTCTTCATCCAGTATGTCAAGCTCTGTCAACTCATGGATCTAGGCCTATGTTCGAAATTGTCATCTCGGTCAGATCAGGCTAGTCGACAAGTTGAAACCGCACAGTGCGAGCTTGGGTTGAACGAGTGGCTTGTATCTTGTCCACCCACACTGGAGTGGAGGCAATCGCGCCATAACTTCTTATCCGCCATGTTATTCTCTACATTCCAGTAAGTACTACTTCTTCAAAAATAAGCCATTGCTTTGTCGCTAATGTATAGCAGTACACTTGTATGCCAGTTGCACCTCTTACAGGCACCAGTGTCTTCCGTGGAGTCTCGAAGCTCGGCATTTCATTCCGCCTCGACTGTAATCTCAATTCTGGAAACTCTGCAGTCTCACGACGAGCTCCAGTACAGTCCTTCTTTTATGTAAGTCCTGACTCTGGTCTTCATCTGAACAATAGCTAATGACAACTAGTATCTGCCATGCCGTCGTGTCCTTTGTCACTCTCAAGTGTCAAATGGAGGCTTCGGTGCCGTCTCTCCTTCACGCGATTCGATCGAAACTCGAAGCCAATCTCGAAATAGTGGAAATATTATCTCGGACATGGCCCATCGCCAATATATTCCTGGAGCTGTTCCAGAGCATGACGAGTCCGGAACGGTTCAACCACTTGCTGTCGGCTGCGGTGGAAGAATGCCGAAAACGCGCCGGTGGTGAGCAAACAGGCACATCAAGACCAACTGGACCTTTCAGAAGGCCGAAAGTAAAACAGGTGATTCTTCCGCAAAGCAGGCTTGTTCTCCAGATCCTACGAAGGGAAACCTTTAGGCAACCGACCAACCTATACCAAGCGTCAGATGCAGCCAACCAAGACTCGACGCTCAATGGAGAATCTTCCTCACATAATGCTACATCGGAAATCTTAGACGACTACGAACTAACTTCAGGGGCACTCGAGCCTTCTGCGGTGTTGCGAAACCTGCAGGAGATGATTCGGCTCCGTCAGAACCATACCTGAGTCGCTTTTAGCTCCTCTATGGGTATGGTGTTACGGAATGGTTTAGATTGTTCTCGCCTTGCAGTGGGAGACCATGACGGGGATTACTTCTCGCAAAGTTACTGGGGCTTGCCTCGTCTCGAATCCGTTGTGGATGGAGATGCTCGTATACATCCAGAAGATTGCTACGCAGTTGAGCTTAAATTTGGACCCAACGGTGCTTATTCTGGGCAGCGGCCTTATGCCCACCCAATACTCTCCCGTCGCCGGATCCAATCTCGAGTTTGTGCCCGTCTTTCATGAGTATATTTATCAGGTCGGTGCCCTGTATACTATCTTACAAGACGCGACATGTGAAATTGATGCTGGCGAAGCTGAATACGAGGAATGAGCTGGTATTAAAAGCGCCCGCAGGCTCATCAGCTATTGACGCTGTGCGACCGCTGGTTCCCACTTCGATCTATACATAAGCGAATATAGATGTGACATTGGGGCTAATTAGATTAATTAGTTTGCTAGCTGATTTGTATTAAATGCAGTTAATGCTGGGAACAATTCCATTAATGATTAACAGGCACATCATTTATTAACCCCTCCCTTATTGCTAATAGCATTCAATAACGTAAACCCATCATCCCCAATCTGCCCAAGCACGTATTCTTCCTGTGTTCCGAACCATATTGCCGATGTATCATCCTCATCCAACGCCGGTGGAAGCCACCGCACATCATATCTCCCACTATCACTGTGCGCAGCATGGACCGGAATGATAGACGGCTGACGTGAAAGACACCAGTGGCGAACAGCAGCCACGGCACTATTAGATGTAGTGATAAGTAATCGCGTTTGCGAAGGATGCCACACTATCTGTCTAACAGGGTGTTCATGGACCAATATCGAGACCAGAGCGGTCGTCGGTCCCAGCTCCCAGATCCATACGATGTTGGGCCGGATTTGGTCGACTGTCGTTAGAAGGTTGCCGTTAGAGTTGAATGCGATGAGGGAGACGCCCCGTGGGGAGCCCGTTGGCTCTGTGATGACGCTGAATGCTTGTGGCCCGGAACAATCACCGTATTCGAGACTGCCGTCGTTGGCGTACCGTTCGCTCCAGACGGTTGGGGTGTGTTGGTCGATCTGGAAACTGTGCGAGAGGGAGGTTGAGCAGGAAAACTGGAAACTCTGCAGTCAGATACATTCCCCCCAAGATATGTAGAGGCAGTTAAGGTGTTCTCACGGTTTTGGTACTCAACAAGTCGACTGATCCATCAACCTTTGCAATAGCCAGATACTCTGACGCACCTCTCCCACCATCGACAGGTCCCCATTCAAGGCCTCGGACGCCTAGATCAAAGGAATCGTCAACTCCTGGAGGACCAGTGTACGTTCTAAACAGCTGTCCATCAGCCGTGAAGATCAACACCTTGGTGCCGCAGCTAGCAGCATCCCAGACGGCAATCCATCGCCCATCCGGGCTCCACTTCAAGCCCTGTGCATCGACTGTTGGAAGCACCGAGCGTCCAATCACTTCATAGGATCGAAACCCATGGATCGTGAGGATGTCTGTCGTGTCGGGCTTGAGGAGAACCGCAAATTCCCGGGTCCTCGGTCGGTAGCCGAAGCCATTATAGTGGGCGAATTTCGGGCTCTTGATAACCTGGCTGCGACCAGTGTCCAGCCCAAAGATGGTCAACTTAGTGTTCCATGCGTGGAAGACGATGACCTCGTTGGAGTCGCCGCCGAAATCGATGTTCATGAAGCCCGGCTCGAGACTTTCGATTTCAGCATGCAGGTCTAGTGGATCGAGCTGCCAGACAAGAAGACGCGTATCGCTTGCATGGAGCAAGCGTCTTCCGGGCTCGTTATCGTCCCCGGGTGATGAGGAAGGTTCTTGTCGTGAGAATTTTAAGAATTTGGTGGTGTTTTCTTTGACCTTGACGGTTTGTACATCCTTGAATTGGGATGAGGTTGGATTGAGATGGACGAAGACTTCTTTGCCATTGATCTGGGCCGCATATGCCCCATCATCAGATAGTGATATCGACGGTGATACTGATTCCATGAGTCAATTGATATCCAGCGTGTAGAAGATAGCGGGAGATTCACCCCCTCCAGTAGAGTCCATTATTGATCCACGACAGACTACTGGTCGTGATATGCACAATTTGAACTGTGATTAAAACACAGTAAATCAAAATGTCTAGAAATCATAGAAAAATTCCCCTTGATATGTTCATAATGCGCATCTTATACTAACAATTGACTGCCCGAGAGCAAGTCCGGTGTCATGTAGATAAATCCCACTCAATGCGGTGGAACGGACGCCAAGCCTCAGATAAGATAAAGGCAACGGGTCAAAGATAGTCCGTTCCGCGATAACGCCGCCAAAAAAAAGACCGATTCCCAATCGAGAGGAAATCTTCGGTATTGAATAGCGACAGCGCCTCTTTGCCCATTACACTGTGTTTGGCCTCCATTCGCAAATATAGGCATACTACGACACCTTGTCCCCCTCCTGGGGCGATTTTTACCCGCCGTTGAACGTTCAAATATCCTGAAAATGGCTGTTCCCGAAACCCAGGCTCCGCAGCAAGCCCCCGCCGAAGCGCAGAATGCGCCGGCGAAGCTGAGTTCTGAGCCCAAGAAGAAATTGCTGGGCAGGGAGCTCTATAAGAGTCTTGGGAGCCCGAAGTACATCGTTGCGCCTATGGTGGATCGGTCTGAGTTTGTATGTGTTCTTATCCACTCGTCGCGAACTATTCACTGACATTTTGATTGAAATAGGCCTGGCGCATGCTCACCCGATCTTTCATGCCGTCCGATAGTCCGACCCCACTGCTTTCTTACTCTCCTATGTATCATGCGCGAATGTTTGGCGAAAATGCGGGTTATCGTGACTCGTGCTTCAGGCCTACTCGCGCGGAAAACGGCGACGAGAACAACACTCCCTACCTCGACGGAAACCCCTCGATCGATCGACCGCTCTTTGTGCAGTTCTGCACTAACAACCCGGATGAGTTCCTGGAAGCGTCTAAGCACGTTGCACCATATTGCGATGCGGTGGACTTGAACCTAGGGTGCCCGCAGGGGATTGCGAGAAAGGGACATTATGGAGCATTTCTGCAGGAGGACTGGGACCTGATCTACAAATTGATCAACCGGTTACACAACGAGTTGCCAGTCCCAGTGACTGCCAAATTCAGAATTCAAGAGACGAAGGAGAAGACACTCGAATATGCCAAGATGATCCTGTCCGCGGGCGCAAGCATCATAACGCTGCATGGACGCACGATAGAGCAGAAGGGTCACAACACTGGCATCGCAGATTGGAGTTACATCCGGTACCTGCGGGATAATTTGCCGCCAGATACCGTTATCTTCGCCAACGGCAACATCTTGAGCCACGATGATCTGGAGCGCTGCCTTGAAGAAACGGGCGCCGATGGCGTCATGAGCGCTGAGTGTAATCTGTCGGACCCAAGTGTCTTCAGTAAGCCACCTGCAGAAGGCACTCACGGACGAGAATACTGGCGCGGTCGAGACGGGCGAGGCGGGTACCGAATTGATGCGGTATTCCGTCGGTACCTCGACATCGTCTATAAATATGTTCTAGAACAGCCAGCACCAGAACGGAAGCCACTCTACCTCCCATCTGATCCCGAACAACCCGAACTGGAAGCCGATACATTCGCCGAAGAGGAAGGCGAGGGCCCACCAAAGAAGAGGCTGAAGCGGGAAAGGAACAAGAGGCCGGCCTCTCCTAGCTTAGCAGTCATGCAAGGCCATCTCTTCCAACTCCTGCGGCCGATGATCTCCGTGCACACGAATGTCCGCAACGCACTAGCAGCCTCACGGCCCGGCGACATGGCCTCCTTTGAACGTGTCCTGTCGCTCACCGAGAAAGCGGTCAAGGCAGGTCTAGACGAGTACGAGGAGCACCCCGAGCGTTTCGAGACACCCGCAGATGCCGAGCTGAAGGGCTCCAAAGTGACAATTGCGGAGTACGGGCGGCCGTTTTGGGTTTGCCAACCGCACATTCGACCACTGCCCGAAGAAGCTATGGAGCTCGGGGCGCTCACGGCGAAGAAGAAGGGGAAGGGCAAGGAGAACAAGCCTGCTGCAGACGAGGAGCCTTCGGACAAAGAGAAGATCCCGGATACGAAGGGAACTGCCACGCCCTCTGACAAGCCAGTAGAGCCGGATTCGGCTACGGCAACGCCAGACCGCTTGGTGAGCGGGTGAACAAAGCGTATGTGGTTCAGGAGTATGGGATATCATATTATTATGGGTTGAGCGTTGGGCTTGATCTACTCATGTTAGTATATACTTAGATATTAGAATTGCATAGCGTCTGCTAGTTAGATAATTGCCAATGCATGTGTCCTATCACGCGTGGCCAGGAAGTCATCTGATCAATTGGTAGGCTTGAAAACAATTGGTATCACGAAGTCAAATACAGAAAAATTTAGCCAACCCAAACTCCAAACGAAACCCTTATCAACACACAGTGTACTCAGAAATCCATCGTAAGCTGCGGCGCCATCTTCTCAAGATCCTCAACCTATGCCAGCATGTCAGTTAAAACGAAGAAGAAAGAAAAAACATATCCAATCCAAGTATACTTGTAAAAGGGGAGACAAACCTCCAAAAACCCATCCCCCCCACCACCCTCGGCCCTCTCATAAGCAGCCCTCGCCAACGCCTCCCTCACAAAGACATCCACATATTTAGCAATGACCGGATTCGCCTCCTTCGCGACCTTCGTCTTCGGATTCTGGAAATGCTGGTGCAGCAACCGCGTGAGCAGCTTCGTCGGGATAGCAGGCTCACTCGAGAGGACGTCGTCGGCTTCGGCCTGCGCGTCTGTTATCTCCGCGAGGATGTAGTCTGGCTCTGGGGAGGGTTCGCGACTGCTGATGCTGCCGTTGCTACCGCTGCCTGATTCGGAGCCGGATGCCGATCCCGGTGGACTTTCGGTGCGCGCGGGGCGCTTGTCTTTTTGTTTCTGTGTTTGCGGCTTCTCTTTTGGTTGCGCGGGTTGAGAGCGTTTGGCTTTTGGTTTAGATGAGGAGGATGAGGCGAATGCTGCTGTTGATTCTTTTGGTACTGCGGGATCGGTAGGCTTGGAGGGCTTCGTTTTAGGTTTCGCTTTGGATGTGCTCGTGGAGGGGCCGGCGGCGCTGGCGCTTGGGGATGCGCGACTTGGAGGATTAAAGGGAAGGCGGCGTCTCTTTTGGGGAGGTTGTCTTTCGGGAGGCATTGCGGCTGACCGTGGAAAGAATAAGCCCTATGCAGATGTGAGAACTTATTTGGTGGATTTACTTCTTCCTTTGATGCGGCGGGGACGAGATGAGATGAAATGAGATGCCACGATAGATGCGGATAGATACGCGTGGGCCAAAACGCGTGGTCATGTGATACTGCTTATATTTGACGTCATTTTCTACAATTACGGGGTATATATATATGCTACAACACACAATTGCCCCAGTAGAGTGTCTTTGAGGATACCAAAATACAGTCAAGGTTGACCTAAAGACCAAGTGGTTCCCCTTGTGGTCTCACGACCGTCACTTCTAACTCCGCCTCTTCCAACACCTCCCTCGACAACTTCCAGTCCACCCCGAACAGTCCCGAGTTGAACCGACATGATCGCAGCTCTCCCAGGGGTACACCATTGTCGGGCTGAGACCGTAATTTCTCTAGCTGGCTTTTCATGTCCGCCACCGCGAGTGCCGTGTTCTGCAAAATGACGGCAGGCGGGCTGACAGAGCGCCCAAAGCCTCTCGACGTGAAAAGACAGATGATCCAGTGTCTTTTCTTTCCGTGGTCTTCTTTGTAGTCTTCTTCTTGTGGTGAGATTATGAGTGATGTGCCAATTGGCAGTTGGATCTTTCTAGTGGTCTTTTGCTGCTGTGTTTCACCAGAATTCTCAGCCCCGGTTGTCAAGAATTGCTTGTTCTCGAGATATTTTTGACAGTGAGCTCTGTAAATTTTGAAAGCAGCAGGATACTGTACTCCATTGGTTCTTTGTTATCAACGAGTGGCAACCAGAGGGGTTTCTCTATGACCTACCTTTTTCTTGAACGCTTCAGCGATCCCCTTCCCCCAGCTTCCTTGGCAGTTACACGCATCTGAGCAGTGCGAAGACGATTAGCTTATGTGCTCTCTTTCTGTGGTAGAGAGGGAAAACCACATACGAATCAAGGCCGCTCCGTCTGGCGCGTCGAAGAGATCGCCTTGGACTTCACTTATCTTGCTGCTCGGGCTAGAGCTCATTGTGACTGGATGTCTAGAACACAAATCGTGGTGGACGGATGGATGGAATTTTGAGACAAGCGTGCTATGTAGCAGGTGGGGATGCGAGAGACTTATATGGAAGGTAGAAACAGGAGAAATAACAGATGGGTGAAAACAGTGCATAGCGTCGAACAACTCGTATTGGCCAAGCGGGATAGCAACCTAATCAACAGGCAACAGCACGTCATTGAGTCATTTCACACGAGCTATGGTATACTCAAATTCATTTATTCATACAACATCTATTGATATGCACGCCTTTTGTCTTTTTGTCATAAAACCCAAAGAATAAAGTGCAGGAATTTCCATCCAGGACATCAAAGAAGAAAAGGAGAGAAATGCGTCACTAAACATTGTCCGAAGATCCAGGAACCGATCGTCTGCGCGAAAGCAGGCGTCCCAGATCGTGTGCCTTCTTGACAGACCAGGACCTTCCGTCTTCTCTGCCAGCGGAAAGCTCGCTGTCTTGGTGCTCGTGCCCTGATGCAGACGCAGCAGTTGATTCTCGAGATCTATGTCCGTATCCCCACGAGGAAGAAGTCGTCACACTGCTAGATTTCAGTCTTCGAGTCATCGATCGCGAGATGTTTTTGAGAATCCCTGTCTCCTGATCATAACGCTCCAGCCGGGCAATTTCACCCATAACAGTCACCCCGTTGTTTGCAAAGTTTTCCTCATGAACAGGGATGTACAGAACCACACCGCGGTTTGGGGGGACTTGAAGCAAATCTTGAAGGGCCGACTGAATCAGGATGGTGCTGCGGAGGTTTGTAATCGGGGCTATAAGGTATGGCAGCGCATATATCTTCATCAAATAAGCCGGCGATCCCAAGACGCCAAATTGGATACATGCATTCTGCTGGAGTGTGACCATCATGAAAGGGGTGGGTTTCTGGTAGACCTGTGCGAGGCGAGACGTAATTTGTGAGACGAGAGTTTCGTTATCCTTGATCTGTCTTGATCAGTCCTGATCGGACAATTGCACCCTTGATCACGGTTACATACCCTGGTATTGTACTTAATATCCACTACAACGATCGACTCTTGATTGATCCGGGTCCTCGGTGACACCATCGGCCCACGAGCGCTGAATGCATCCTCGAAATATCGAGTCTTCACTCGAGAAGCCGGCTCCTCCTCGAAGCTTTTATTCACCAGGCGAGGGGGCTTTGTATCTGTCGATGGACGGGATTTCATTTCCGGAACCGTGCTCTCTTCCTCTTCTGCCTCGTCGATGAACACCGAGGGGATGATAGGGTTTCTCTCCAAACTGGACTTCTGCTTCAGAGTTACTTCTGATACGGTCCCAGGCATCATCGCGTGGAACATTACAGGAGACTCGAGGACCGGGATTATGGGATCCAAATTGCTCGAAGAGTCGGAAGTGTTGTGGTAGCGCTTGAAACGACTGAGGTCCAATCGATGGTGTTTCGAGCTCATGATTACCCAGATCGAATGACCGCTAAACACTCAAGCCAGTCCAGCCAACCCTTAACGTGTTGCAGCAAATGGTGGGTTGAAAGAGATGCCGCTGATGCTTTGTCGGAGAGAAGAGCGAAGGTATCGCATGATCCCTTGTAAGATACTGGCAAGACTTCATGCCTGGACCTTCCTATCTAGTTTGGCCGAATCTGTCTTCAACGTGTGAGGTTCCGAGTTTCGCCAATTTAGGTTATACACGAAAAGAGGAAGGAACAAGTGGCACTCCTGCCATTATCAATACCAACCATGCGATAAATCGGTGCTTTCTGAATGACCCTGACGCGATGCAGGAAATACAAATCAAGTTCATACGATAGCATAACCCAATCGCCTAAACACCATCCACGAATGCACGCCAGTCAAGTCAAAAAAGCCAGATAGTCAAATGCCGAATTCCCACTGAGAAAAACCTTGTCTACCCTGCGTCTCTTGTCCCATACCACGTCGCCGTCGGAGATGCGTTTGATATAGATGATGCGATGCTGGGGGATAAACTCCTCGTCTGTGGTCTCTCTCTTCCACGACCCCAGACCAAGCTCCAAGCGCCCTTCAAATCGGTCTTCGTATCCGATTATGTAGTCGTCATTGTCATAATTCTCATCCCAAATAAGGCGATTGATCACATCTGTGCTCACCAGGTCAATATGGATCTATAAAAGGGATTTGCAATGATTGTGAGGCTGTACCAGACACGGGGCGCAACTTGTTCTCTTTGGCCGGGGAAGTGTAGCCGGTGCTCTTCGGTGATCGGCTTGCAGGTGATGGAGTTCGTCTTGGAGACGAACTTTCTTGAGGCGATCTTTCTTGAGGCGAGCTTTCTGAAGGTCGATACTCGATCTGCTCTGATCCTGGGACTTCTAGGTGTTGCTCCGACGCCATGACTTAGGACTGATTTTTGTTTTCGGTTATAGAAATATGAAGAAATTTTTGTGATGCTATTGAATACAACTCCATTCCAACTGCTTTCTCCTTATAACATTTGAAGGGTTCCTATTTACACATGTCACTGAAGCCTAATACGCCTCAGGCCCCCTTCCTAGAAAGCATTTCAGGATCGAGTCACGTCTAGCTGAGCGTTGCATCACGCAGGATGGTTAGGCTCCCTGGATTCTGACACGAACTCCAAGAACGGAGATTGAGATGTAGAGAATATGGGGATACAAAGCCATTCGTGGTCGACCAACAAATCATAGTCATCGTGTCGTTACTGCGATGAGTCAAAGGCTGTGGCTGTGGTGGTAACTATCGAACGCCTGGTTGATGACACATGACTCATCCATGCGCATTGAGCAAAAGTAGACTCATGCCTTGTGGAGCATGATCATGGTGCTTATCATACTTTTTTACTGAACAACACAACAGGTTTAATGAGTTGTCGCAATCAATGTCAAGAAAAGAGTATTGAGACTTTGTCCTGATCGGGATGATGATCCGCCCGCGGTGCACCCAACAACGTTCGCTTGGCTCCACCATCTCTCCCGCTGTCGCGCCCGACGCGTCCCTCATGGAAAACCTCCAAAGACCACACTCACCACTGCGCTCCTCCATAATTTGCAATCTTATTATTAATGAGGCTGTCAGGACGCTATCAATATGAATGACACGTCGACTTCTTTGCTCACAGAGCATTTCAGCTACACCCCTTTGGTCAGTATACCTATCCTCGCCGAGTTGTACCGTTTTGCGCTCTGCACCAACGCGCAGCACCCCACTTGCTCTTGCTAACCCAGCGCAGTCCCTGATAGACGACATAATCAACTCGATCAACAATCTCATCTACCAGGCGATCTCGAGTTTAGAGTCTGGTCTCTTGTCGACCCCGCCAGAACGGCTAGGTTTCGGCCACGCTCAGAACGGCTCCACGATCCCTGACACCGACGAGGACGGCAACGTTGTTTATCCAGAGGCGCAGTTGGAGATCGAAAATGGACTGCATCAGTTGGAAACGCTCCTTGAATCGACCGTTGACAAGGCGTTTGATAAGTTCGAGATCTACCTACTGCGAAATATCCTTACCGTGCCGGAGGATTTACTGGGTTGGGTGAGGCTGAAGCACTACGAGGTGGGTCTCCATTTTTGTCGCGCATAATCGTGTTGCTGCATTATCAGTCGTCTCTGTGCGCATGTTGCTAACTAATTCCTCCCTAGAACCTTCAACTGACCCCTCCTCCCGATGCGCCGACCCCAGAGACAATCCAGCTACAGCGCAAAAAACTACACGAAACCAGGAAGTTGAATCATGCTCTAAAGCAAGAGAGTGCCCGAAACGAGACTATCATTTCGCAGCTACAGTCAATTCTATCGACGGTACAAACGGCGGATGGCGCAAATGGCACCAAAGAGGAAGCGCAACCCGCAGACACAACCACCCCCTCCGCGCACCGAGGCCTCGACCTATCCTTCTTAACCTCCAGTCCAGCTGCGCGGCAATTACGAGTTGGTGTTGACGCTGGCTCCGGCACTCAACACACGCCCCTCACAACCAACACAACGTTCATACTCTCCCAACTCCCCGCTCTGCAGGCGGTGCTGCGCCAGCTTCGGCCGAAGCTAGCCACGCTGCCCAAGTCGGGAGACGCCATGGAGGTGGATTCCAAAGGCGACGAGCGACGAGAATACATTGAGAGTCGGATCCGACTGCATCTCGAACGTACCGGACAACTGGCCGTCGGTAGCAACGGCAATCCGGTCGTTGCTGGCCGGAAGATCGACATCTCCGAGGCGCACGCCCTGGAGATGGTCACCGGGATGCTTACCCAAGGCGACAAAATGACCGACTAAGATGGATGGCAAAGATCAATGAACAAAATCCTTTAATGGATCTTCTCTATCTCATTTTTGGTTTGCAAGCATCTAAAACCTATGCCGACCAGGACACGCTCCATGTCTGCTGGTTTCTCCGGAACGGAACGACGTCCACCTTGTCCGACTGCAGGATGTCCATGATCGTCTCGTCTTTCCTCTGGAGGGTAATGAACTCCTTGGTTTCCTCGCCAATGCCGTAGAAGGCTCGGCCAAATTTGCTCATGAAATTCTCAATAACCTGGGGAGTGATGTCTTCCTCTTTCAACACGCCGTTCTCGCAGGCCTGCTCAAAGGCGTCGACCACGAGCTGGGTCGTGTACGGCTGCGTAAACACGCCCGCTGCGATCTTGTCCCCTCCCCGCTTGGAGGCAGCCGGGTGGGGGGCACTGTCCGAGCCAAAGAAGAACTTGGGGTCGCCAGAAACTGCCGCGCGGAGGAGGGCGTCGCGGTCAGCGGGCGTCTTGGCAACGGGCTTGCAGAAACAGAACGGGTCGCCGGCCCAGTGGTCGATGATGATCGACAGATGGTGTGCCGTGATGGAACCGGCCACCGTGGGACCGCATTTCTTGACGGCCTCGACAGCCGCCGCCGTGGTGCAGTGCTCCAGGATAATGCGGAGCTTGGGGAAACGCTCGTGCAACTGCAACAGGGTAGGCAGGAAGCGCTCCTCCGCGGACAAGACCGTGACGTCACCCTTGGAAGGAATCTCGCCGTGGAGGTTCAGGACCAAGTCCTGACGCTCCATCTCGGCGAACACGGGATAGAACTCGGTGTAGTCTACCACACCCGAGGAAGAGTTAGTGGTTACACCGGCCGGGTAACTCTTGACGCCGGCGATGCCTCGCTTCTTGGCGTCGATGATCGTCTCGGGCGTGACGGTCTCATGGAGGTACAGAGACATGAGGAAGGTGACATTGGGCTCGATGGCCTGCAGGCGCTTCTGGTACTCGAGCGCACGGTCGACAGTGGTCACAGGGGGGACCAAGTTGGGCTACAGATGTTAATGGCTAGCCAGAGTAGATAGACACAACAGGCCTCTTTCTCACCATGACAAACACGGTGTTGACGCCTCCTTGTCGGATAGTGGGCGTCACAAGCTCCATCATATCTCCTTCGCGCAGGTGCACTACATATAAATCAGTAAGGCTGTAACAAAGGGGTAGTATACCGTAGAGTAAGGTAATACGATCGACGCACCATGAAGGTCCGCAGAAGCGGGGAGCCTGACTCCATTCAATTTCGACAGCGGCATTCTGGCACGAGATAGCAGACGCGAGGTCAAAGACATTAATCAAAATGCTACTTCAACCGCGGTGTAAATCAATAGAATATAAACAGCAATATAGGGAGAATTCCGGGGGCGAGTCCAAAGATTTTCTGCCTTTTTTTTTTCTTCCCCGCCAAATTTTATCGGCCGTGGGGGTGATTGTCATCGGGGTTTTGATTGGCTGGTGGGTCTGGTGATGTCACGGGATTGGGGATGCACGTGAAGTTGGGGAAATACTGAGCCTGGTATTCAGACGTCTCTTCATTCTGTTTTGTTTCTGCTTGATTTCGATTTCCATGATACCCTGCTGTCAGACCATTCCATTCGTACGACTCCACCTCGGGTTTGATCCAGGTTCTCCTGATGAACCTTAGCTGGTTAACAATAGAGACCAATCACAATCATCTGGGCCTGATGCAGCCGCCCATGTGCTGGAAATGAATGAATTAGTGGCGCTTCCGAGGCCAATAAACAGCCATATTCGACACCCCTGATGCGATGAAAGGGAGCGTGCCTTAGAGTTCGTCAGAATGGAAATCCAGTTCTAGCCTGCGACGCTCATTCGTTCCCTCTTGAAGGACAAAGTTCCATATAACCGCCCACTCGGATCCTTTGCCCTGAAGATATCCACAGTGGTTCTGCAGAAGATGTAGTCTGGTCTCTCCGCATGCAGTGACAGACAAACCAGCGCCTGGGATCTGGTCAGCGGCTCGAGGGTGTCTGTTACTGGTGTTTCTGCGCAGGTCTAGAATCATGAGGGTGTGTGATGATATCTGTATATCGGGTATTTTTTTACTGTGACGGCTTTTAAAAGACTTCATTGTCCGTTCCTTTGAATGTATAGATAGGTGTTTTTTTTTTCTTTCTGCAACACTTGTTGTTCTTTCCTACTTTCCTTCCTTTCGCTCATGCTTCTATAACCCAACTTCTATCCATCCTTAGTCGTTTTGGTCTTCTGGAAAGGCCATTTCTGAAATATCATCCATTTTTCATCCATTCTTTCGACACATCGGTTGACTCGCCACGATCTACTTCTATCTCATCACACAACCCCTACACCTACCATCTTAGCTTCCCACTTAGCTTTATAATTTTCAACACATCAAAACACAATGAGCTCAAGCTCTACCACAGAATCCTACCACGCCTCCTACGCATCAGACGAAGCAGAGTCGAGCTTCCTCCGTCGTGATCGTTATCTACGCGTAGTACGTCTCGGACTCGCCGTCCTCATCTTCTCGCTAGGGGTTTCCATCATCGGCTGCGAGGGTGCCCCGCTACACCACTACCGCCAGACATCCGTTTACCAGCAGGCCTGGCTGCCTCTGTGGCCGCTGAACCTTGATATCCGTCCCACGATAGCGATATTAGCCTGTGGGTGTGTCGTTGCGGCCTTGAACCTGGTTTACATTGTAGTGGCGCTTCTTCCGTCGGTTAGTCTTTTATTCTTCGACCCATATATCTTATGTCTAGACCTACGTTCCCTACGACCCGAAACCATGTGAGCAATTAACTGACTGACTCTGATCCAGCCCCACTCAAACATAAAACGCCTCAACCTCCTCGCATCAGCAACCTCCATCGCAGGTTTCCTAGCAGCCCTTATAACCCTCCTCTTCACAATCTACCTCCCCAACTCCACCCAGCCCAGCAAATTCACCTCATCAGAAACGCTCCTTTCATGGACATGCAAGTGGAAGACTGTCCGCGGCAGCCCATCCACCATCCCCGCGGCCGCGCACTTCGGGCGCGACTGCGCCGCCAGCCGTGCGGGACTGCTCCTTCTGGGGGTGCTTTTGGGACTCGAGGTTGTGAAGGGCGCTGTTGCTGCTGTGGGGGTTTGGTGTGGGTGGAGGGTGGCGAGACTGCGCGGGGCGCAGCTTACGCAGGCGAAGGTTGAGTTGGTGGGGAAGTATCCGGGGGTTTGATTTCTCTTTCACTTTTTTATCTCGTTTTTTTGAGTATGTGTTATTATGGGGATGGGAGGGGTTGGGGTGAGAATTAACCACTGGATTGGTTTAGTTAGTTAGTTAGTTTGCTTGTTGGGTGTTAAGGGGTATTTGAGGATATATGGCGCATGAGGGACACGCTACTGCGAACTTGAATTATGACGAACAATGCATGCTTTAGTTCCTTGGTAGGTTAACAGTATATGAACTATATCCAAGAAGCTCAGACTATATACACCCCAGACACTCACACAGTAACCTACAATCAAAGCAAACTACAGCTTCGACCCCCCAGCAGGAAGCAACCTCAAATCCTCAAACGGCAGCCCCAAATACTGCCACATAAAATGCCACCGATCGCTCCCAAAAAACGGCTCCGACGTTCCCTCCTCATTCGTCACCCAAAACCAAGGGCATCCGTACGCGCCGAGCTCCTTGACAGCGCGCTCCGTCACGGCCGACAAATCCGCCTTGATCTCCGGGGACGACGCGGCCGCAATCACGTCGCGGACTTCCTGCTCGGAACGGAAGACCTTGCCCAGGGCGGTGGCTAGGTGTTCGGGCTTGGAGATGTCGACTTGGCCGTTCCACATTGTGTCGTAGCAGGCGAGGAAGGCGGCTTCGAGGGTTGGTGTGGGGTAGGATTTTTTGATGTGGGTTAGGGCTCTTTGGGGCTGTTCTTGCTTTAGCGTTCATTTCATTTGACGTGGTTTGTATAATAAATAGTTCAATACGGAGAGGAGGGTATGTACCAGTAGAGACAAAATGGGGAAGAAAGAGGGTATTTGGAAGTCATGGCCGAAGTACTTCTGGGCTCGTTGGCCGTCGAATTTGGAGTAGGCTGCTTTTGCGGGGAGGGTCCAGGGAGGTTTGTTTCCTGTGAGGAGAAGGTGTGTTGGTTTCGTTCACTCCATTACTTCGTGGTAGTGGTTGTAGGTTGGACTTACCGCTGCCCACGTTGATCCCGCCCAAGAAGACAGGAATGTATCTATTAGGTGTTAGCATAGCATTCTGGGCTCTGTCTGTATGTGGTAAGGTAAGTATTAGGATGATAGATAACATACTCAATCTCCACACCCAGACTCTCCAGAGCAGCCTTGTTTTTCTGGAGATAGGTGAGAGCGTAGAAGCTGTATGGCGATACTGATATACACGTGATTAGCGATTATGCTTTCAACTCAGTATTTTATCATGTTGACTCACCGCAATCTAGGTAACATTCAATCTTCTTGCCCATTGTGTCTGTCTTGTTCTTCTTATGATGTGTATCCGTACTTGAGTTGGTGGTTGTAGATGTGTTTCATTCCAGGCACGGGTATGGTGGATGTTGAATTGATGTTCTTGTGACCGTGTGGGGAACCGAGGCTGCCGATCTACACGGTTGCCGACGTCGGGTCGGCTGGGCAGCTTTCCGTGAGGGGCCTGATTGCCTTGAAGTATACTATAGTCTATACTGTACTTACGGAAGTTTTACCCCGGAATTATTGTTTTTCTAGGTCCTTTGGTTGTCTTGTCTTATTAGCTGGTACAAGAAGACGGAATCATTTTCCTTGTTCATCCTGCGCCAATCATAATTCAGAGTTCCATATAGATCAGTCCGATTGTTCTATGTATTCCTGTATATCACCAAGATATCGCTGTTCGTTGATTTCGAACTCTGGGTTAACACTGCAGTGTTTTCTATCGAATTTTACAAATTAAACACCCCCCCTCCCCCCCCCCCTTCCCCGCCATGTCCATCAAGGTCTCTTTCGCACTACTCGTCAACCAGCAACAAGTATCCCTAACATCTTTGGCTGCCGTGAAGACATTCTTTACGGTAAATTTGTTTGAAAGGTCCGAAATTTCTGAATCTGAGCATGCATGTAACAAAGAAGGCAATCCTAGCCTGACCGTGGCTCATCTTGATATGCTCAATACCCAGCTGTAAGCCTACAAATTGGGGCATTGTCTAAACCTACATCATAGTCCTCGCTACATATATCTTTCATCTGGGTCATAGTGCCCTCTGTCATCTCCTTCCTAGTCTCTCAGCCACGCAGACCAAACCGCAGACTAAACCCCCAGCCTCTCCACTAACAGGATCAGCTCGTATTATCCTAGAAACCTCCGTACATCTTCATGGCTCCCCTCTACCTGATTTTTCGCGGACCCTCTTCCAGCCCACCCACAACGCCACAAGTAGAAGAAGCTAGAAGGAGGAGGAGGAGGAGATCATCTCCAGATCCGTGTCCCTGCAGGTTTTCGTCAGCCTGCTCGCCCTGTCCAATGAGCCATATTCATCACACCAAGAACTACCGGCAGTACCCGGTCACACTCGGTCCGGTCCGCTGCTTAGCAGCCAATGTAGAGGGGGTCACACGTGGCATATATGGAGTTAGCGGTTGATTTTCATGGAGAAATGCGCTGTAGTGTCTGGCATGCTTGCTGTGTCGATCAGTGTGCTGGCTGAGCCTGCGCTGATCATGACCTGGGAGGTTGGTCTACGGGGTCGTTGTGTATTGTTGTGTTGAAGTTACGGGAAAGATAGTGGTGTCAGGGAAGGAGATGTAATTCGTTACTACTTATTCTCAGCTGTCGCATTGGATGTAGGGATGTTTGCGAAGGTTAAGAGTGGCATGATATCTTTGTAGCAGAGTGGTAATTTCGAAAGTTCCTTTATTTGTAACACTTGTCAGTCGTAGTCGTTTATAATTCAAGCCAGTAAGCCACGGTCAGGGTTTATTACGATATCCAATGCGAGGAATGTTAAGTGATGGTTACTGGCGACTGGTCCTATTGAGTAAGATGAAAAAACAACAAAGCAATATAATGGCCTTGACAGCGCATCGAGACGAAGGATGTCGGACGAACGGAAGGTTATATAGAAAGAGGGCGTATGGCGTAGTGGGAATGTTTCGGCCGAAGATACGAGAGGAGCATCCCACTTTGATTATTGCAATTTTGGCGATCACGCCATGGGGGGGCTTGTTGTTATGGAGGGATGCTTTTTTTTGAATTCCGCCAAATAAGGGCTGTTGTGATGACGTTTCTCAGCCCTTTATCGTTTTGCTTGTGTAGGGTGGGGGCAAGAGTTCTTGGATTCATCCTTGTCACTGAGTAGACTATCTTGTGGTTTGCATGATCAATCAGCTATTGACTAACTGGTGAGCCGCTGATTTATATATTTGATTGTAGATGGTGTTCTTCAGTGCATGTATGGTGGGGGGCCATTGCAACCCAGCTTTCAAATTAGCAATTTTCGTCGGCCACCCCTGGTTTGATCTATTGGGGCTGATAGAGGGGTTGCATTCACTTAGGCTGTGACTGGACCGGAAATGCATATCCTTGCTGGGGCATTCCAAGGTCAAATTATTTATTCATGGACACTGCAGTCAGATCGGAGATTCTAAAGTCATGCGGAAACATGGATATGATGAAAAGCAGGTTGGGCTTCCACTGAATGGGCGGATTGGATGGAGTATGCGATGATACGTGAATGAATATCAGTGATCCATAGGTATATCTACATATTGTATAGTCGGGTTTGATTAACAAAAAAAATAGAAGTAATCTATATGATATATACTCAGTCAGAATACGTGATGCAACCTATTGCTTACTAGTAAGAGATTCAGCTGGTCGAATCCTTCATGCATGTTCATGTAGCTAGCCATAGATCTTCTCTGTCCAGGTATGCATTATGCTGAATACCTACCATAGTGCCAAACATGCCGCAACTGAAAATACGAAACTACGAATGAACATTTTGAAATCCAATATCTTGGTCAGGTCTACAGTCATGGCACACATCCATATTTACGTAGCTACCAAGTGACGTATTAGAGAAAGTATTGCATTCTTGGAGAAGTCACATCAAACTGCATGATCAACGATTGGGATGAAGGATGCTAGGGTGTTGGACCAAGCAATCCCCCAGAATAAAAAAACCAAAGAGGCAACCCAAAAGAAGAACCAGGCGCAATTGCAACCTTATCAGGTAAAGGAGGGTTGAAGATCTCCGTAATTCAGTCAACGGGCCAGGCCGCCCCACTCCATACTTCGTAAAATCGCCCACGACTGTTTCACCTGTTGAAGGTATGATCGCCAATCTAACATCGAATATCCTGCTTTGACGCATCCCTGATGTCTAAGTCCTCAGCTCAGGACTGGCTAACAGCTCCCGTCTATCCTCTCTGATCATTCGCTTGCTGGTGATACGATCTGGATAGTTCCGCATAAACATGTTCGTAAAATGCGTTCCATAATGAATACCCTCCCTAGGCTTTTGCCCCCCGTCATATCCTGGGAGAGGACGCAGCACTGATTGGAAGCTCGGCTCATGAAAGTAGGCGAATGCAAAGCGCTCCCGAGTGTTAAGACCCACCTTGTGTGGTGTGGAAGGGAGATAAGAGTCGGTTAAATATTGCATCATATCACCTAATTAACAGTCAGTCACGCGGCTCGAAGTCTTGTTGAAGAGTCAGCTTACCAGGAAATACTGTGAAAACATCGGGCATTGGTGGCACGTAAACCCAGCCAGAGTCGTCCTCGTGGAATCCTGCTGCACTTTCTTCCCAATTTGCAGTAGCTTCGTCGGCCGAAGGGGGGCGGATGAACAAGCCTGACCCTGTTATTAGCAACAGCTGTGATTGCAATATCCGGATACTAACCTCCCACTTCATCTTGGGCAGCAATGACCAGCAGACCGTAGTCTGTATGAGAGCCAATGCCACGACCTTCTTTGCCTTTCCCGTTCGTGTTGCTCACAGCGGGGAACCTGCACACTTTGTCAGTATCTACCTTCAATGCGGCTAAATCGGATTGATATACCTGAGAATACGCATGTGATGCCAGCCATCGTTTGTGTATTTGGTCAGAGACCCTGGTGGGACACCGAGTCCACACTCAATAAGCTGGAGGAGCTTCTCTCCGCTCTGGCCAAGGTATTCCATATACTGCTCCATGGGATCTTTCATCTCCAAGTCTGGCCAAGGACACGGGCCATGGCAGGGCCAGTGGTTTCTCACCCGTGGCTCAGACAGATCCAAATCTTTCGTGACGGTGAAGATTTCCGAGTAGTCGGGTATACCGTCCGTAATCTCTTCGGCGGACGCTATATAACCAGAATAACTCTGCGAGTCGACACAGGCCGCTTTCTCACTGTGAGGCTTTCGAAAGAATCCTTTGCTGGCATCGAAAACCTCATCCATGAGAGACTTTTTTGTGTCTTTCATGGAGATCTGGAGGATGCCATCACTGCGCCAGGCATCTACTAACGCTTTTCCCAGCTCGACATCTGTCGGAGTGCCGGTGACCTGGGCCGGGAGCTCAAATGTCTGCAGCTCACCAGGGCGAGCGATATAGTTTGGCGGCATGGTGGCTCCAAGGTCTTGCTTCGCGGGAGTAGCCGCGGTGGCTATGCCGTGAGAGGTAACCATGGTTCTAAATCTTCTAGAGTAGATGACACGGGATCTGGTTATAATCGATAGCATGAAAGATGCGGGCACAGAATAAGAAAAGTCTGGTCTGATCTGATGAGATAAATGCTTTGTCTCCGCTTTTTTACTTAAGTGGCTGATGATGGTACGCAAAGAAGGAGGGAGTTGGGCCCGTATAAATACACTTATGGCCGTTGCATTGACATCAAAACTGTCGATCTCAAGCCGAACCAACTTCTCGCTCATGACCATTGTCCCCCTCCATCACACTAACTGCGGACAACTCGGGTCTTCGCACCATTGGAGACTTTAGAAAGATTATGTGTCTCTATCTAGAATTAGAAAGAGCCGACCCTTTCCACGTCGGGAAATGATGTCACTAGTCTGTAGAAAAGCAAGATATGTCCAGTCACGATATGCTTTTGTCGCTTCGAACGTGCCCCAAACACAAGGAAAGGGATATCCTGATGTTGTAATTCGTGACACTGCCTGTATGCACTGTCTCACCATTGGGGAAACAGAGCTGTTCATCTTTGATAGTGTATTCTATGAGCTCTCTGGCATGGTCTGCAGAGCGCCTGGCCAATGAGGCAGAGATTCCGCCATATTCCGAATCTACGACTGAGAATTCTTGCGTACCAAGTCCGTTACCGTTCCCTGCAGCTAATACTCTTGCAGCAGCGGACCTTCCCTTTGAGGTGGTCTCCGGTTTCTGAAGCACACATCTATGCCCTCGATGTAGTCACACGCATACACCACTGCATACTGGGGCTACTGCTGTAGGTGAGGATCGGACTGTATCCTCATTTATCGTCCAGTTGGCAGATAGTCAATGTAATCAGTTTTATGAAAGAGCCAATATATATCTGCAAAGTCTGAATTTTGTTTATTTTACACCTCTATTAAGTGATTGAGTGGGTGAGGTTGGGTAGGTATAATGTGAGGTAATAAGTCATATGTCCAAATGAGCTTACGGATTACAATAGAGACCATCAGAGGTTCTACTTCACTTGTAATCAAGAGTTGTGAAGAGATGAATATCCAGATCTGTAGGTATATGCTAGATTTAATCACGATGAGCTTCGGTTGCGCAGAGCTATAATTTAAAATTCATATGACAGTAGCCCTAATGCTTCCCCTCAGCGATATTGTAAGTGGACTATACCTCAAGGGTGAGTGTTAGAAACTTTGATAATAACCATTCTAGGAGCAGGCTGGCCAGACAATATCAAATACATAGATATTTCGTTCTTCTCTTCTACCTTAATCAAATTACGCGCAATGCTTCGCAGCAAGTATGCTGCACGTAGCCAATGCTCTATTTGGATCAATTATTCAGAGATTCAGAACCAGCGTGATGATCGTAAATATGCATGCTTCAAATGTCACTACTAATGAGATAATAATCCCTATCTACAATTTCGCCTTCCTCATTTTCACGCTATCCATTCTATTCCCTTCATCATCCTGCTCTGCCACCTCCAGAGACGGAAGCTCCTGTGGCATGATTCGTCGCGGGCTCGACCCAGGCACAACCGAGTATCTCGAGAAGTCTGTCACGCCACGATGCTGACGTAGGAAGTCCTCGTCGAGCGTCAAAAGTCCATTGACCTTCTGCGCGGGAGAATCGAGGATAGCCAAGATGGCATCAGAGAAGATAGTCTGCATCGTCTATCAGTTGAAGCTTTCTCGTATATTACCAAGAGACTTACAGGTTTTCGGAGATCCCGTTTCATAGACTCGTTATTCGCGGTGGTCATTTCCGTCGCGGCAGATTCAATGGACTAGTCACATTGCATCCAGCTGTTAGCCTGCCCCCCACATAAAGCTCAAGGAAGAAGAGTGCAACCTACCACAGCCGGCCAAATACTAGTAATAGCCATACTCCTCGCATCCTGGCGCTCAAAATCCATCGCCAGACCGCGCGTCAGAACGCTCATACCCACCTTACCTAAACCATTCAGTCAATACACGATCAAATTCAAATATAGTGAGCGGAACAATAAACAGTGACACACCCATAGCATAAGCCGTCTTTCCCCGGAAAAACCGCGAATAGATCGGCGGCGACACAACAACGATGCGCCCGCGCCGCCCGTTCCGCTCAAACACAGGCAGCACGGCCTGCACAGCCGCATACAAACCCTCCGGGTTGACGCGCTGCATTAATTGGAACCGCTTCGTAGGCGTCTTGGCCACAGACGACCACCAGATCGCACCGGAGTTGTACACGAGGACGTCCAGGCGGCCGCCGGACAGACGTGCCGTTTCTATAACCAGACGCTCGACCTCTCCAACATGGCGCACGTCAACGGAGAGGGCATATGCCTCTCCGCCGGCTTCGACGATTTCGCGTGCGACGGTGTTGATGGTTGAGTGCGGGGAATTGGGGTCTGGGGGGAAAGGCTTCCCCGGGGCGTAGGCGTCTGAGGTTGTTTTTGCGGCGACGATTACTATTCTCTTGTCAGTGTACTATATCTGATCGTAGATATGCTCATTTGTTATGGTAATTATAGAAATCATGAGGAATAGTAGGAATAATGCATACCCTTGTAGCCAGACCGGGCCAAATCAATAGCGATCTGGCGGCCGATGCCTCTCGAGGCGCCGATGACGAGCGCGACGGGTTGAGAAGAAGACATGTTGGAGTATGATATGGGGTTGTTCTAGAAAACTAGAATACTTTTTCTAATCCATTGAATCAGGGAATCTCCGCTTTTAAGAAAAGTGAGGGACTCTGGAGTATCCTCGGCTGACAAGGTAGGTGACGTGTTTTGTCGTTTCCCCGACGCCCAACTGACGGTGAATCGCCGAGCTCGGGTCGGCCCGTCGGCGATGCTGTTGTGCTATAGATAGTAGTTCTTGGTCGATTCATCACAATTATTTCAGCTCGATCAAGTTCCTATATTTTCTTCACTTTTACTTGGAATTTACTGTAGACTTGCAGCTATATTGGATTTGTGGATTCCCCAACCTCTATGTATCGGATGAAGGCCTACGTTGCGCGAAGAGAGTACAGTTCAGAGTACTCTACAGTTTATTGCAAACAATATATTCCTAAGTCTATTCTTCTGAATCTAAGTCACAGAAGCTGTGGTTTTGCATTTATTGTGATAATGACTTCCATGCTCGTCTTTGCATTTGCGACCAAATCATGGAAATGGCATTCAGACTACTTTGGTAGATCCAACGTGGGCCGTCTCCATAGTTAGGCTCATCACTGCGGGGAACCAAATAAACTCCGAGGTGAAACTCGGAGTCTTGTTGCTGAAACAATCATATATCTAATCTAGTCTATAAATGTCAATGACCCGAGCATTGTGGATGTCCAGGCTAGAACTCAATCATACATCTGCATGGTAGAAGCCCTACTTCTAACTATATATTTCGCAAAAGAGAATACCGAAGAATTCCCTGTGAGATAGGTAATCATATTTTCCATGGATTGGGGGTGAGTGACACTGAAAAGTTCTATGCATGATCTCGTACACTGTTTGATGTTGGCAAAACAGCGCAATGCGACACCGAGTATGCATGCTTCTATGCGTCATGTGTGTTGATCAGTAACACACATGCAGTATCTTCGGGATAGGGCATGATACTGTGTGTAACACCAACATGTGTTTCATTCTTCAGGTTATGCGAGTGCCTACATGCGTATGTCAGGATCGACATAATATTGATATAATATAACTCCAGCCTTATCATTGACACACTACGAGTTCTTGGATAGCTTACGCCTTAGCTCTCTCTGGCTAAGTGCTTTTCATGTAGATATTCATAGATGATATATACTATGACACACTCAATCGGTCTTGTCATCCAGGTGACTTCAAACTTTAGTAGGTTTTAGTATTAGAGTTCGGCCAATTCACTTTATTGGAATCTATAAACTGTCATCACATGGAGTATAAGGCCACAGGACTTATATTAAGTTGCTTGGGGCACAATATCGAATTTCTAGGTGCGGTGCGTAGTTACTGAAGTTCTAATGACTGGGGTTGCCACCGGATGGTCGAGGTTCAGGATATATACACCAGGGACACAAGGGTAATATCTGATAGTACTCATATGACAGGCCCTACGCATGACTTAAACACCTTGGCCGAGGCATGTTTACACGAGAGATCTTTCTCCGCTATATGCCATGAATTACACAGCTTGACAGAAAGTATAGGAGGCGACTTGACATGCCGAACCTCTTGCACTCGTGACAAAGCTATAGAAGGACTTCTATTACTCCCCATCGAGATATATAGCTTTTGTTTGAGCATAATACTGACGTTTTTATATAAAAAGGCATACAATGACTAACAATCATGGTAATATAGAAACTGACCATCTTAATGAGGTATTGACATTTCGACAAGGCACCTAAATATGTACCTGAAAAGACGCCCTAAACACCAGTTCAGGCATGATCCATATCTTATCGGACCCTATCTTATCAGGCACCAGTGCTGATTGCCATACTAAAAAAATAGAGACACACCAACCAATCACAGCGCCCCCGCTAACCGACAGCGGATGAGGGCTTAGGGTTTGCTGTCACGTGCGGCTGAGTCACGCCCCACGGGAATTTCACACTCTACCGTAGGCTCTGGGCGAGTTCACTTCGATTTGATCGATTGTCGCGCAGCTCTTTCCGTCGTCGAACAACCGCATCACAGACAAAATGGCCCCCGCAAGAAAGAAGTGGTCCAAGGGCAAGGGTACGTTTATCTCTACTTTTCTCCCAGGGTGTTTTTTTGTTTCCCATCGGCGAGGGGATAAGCAACCACCTGGGATGATTCGGAGACCGCCAGCGAACTATCATGGAGGTCATGAAGAAGGATAAAACTAACGCATCGAAATACAGTCAAGGACAAGGCCCAGCACGCCGTCGTCCTCGAGAAGGCCACCGCCGACCGTCTCAACAAGGATGTCCAGTCCTACCGTCTGATCACCGTCGCCACCCTTGTCGACCGTCTGAAGATCAACGGCAGCCTTGCCCGCAAGGCCCTTGAGGATCTCGAGGAGAAGGGCCAGATCAAGAAGGTTGTCGGCCACTCCAAGATGAACATCTACAGTATGTCCCCTACCACATATCGCATGGGAGTCAGTCCTACGAAGAAAGAAGATGGAAAACTGACCGGTACAGCCCGCGCCCCCACCGCCGAGTAAACGTTTCGAACAACGCTGGTTTCCTCTTTTTCTCGCGGTTTTGCTTGTGTTTCCCTTTACCTACGAATGATATCAATATTCGAAGTTGGGCGGGCGAATGATGGTTGTATCTGAGTGAATGACAAAAATTCAAATAAATCAATCCCGGAAGTCAGTCCCGACAGTCGTACGGTAGCGGAGGCAAAAGAAGTTTAGGAACGGACGGCGAATGATGTCCGCGGGGACACGCATAAGCACGTAGATTGAGGAACAAGACAACGACAAACAGACTTATATGCAACTGTACACCCAGTGTACAACATAACACTACCCAATAAATCCAACCAACAAATCTACCAACCTACGCCCTCCCCTTCAAATCCTTCCTCAGAGGCCTCTGTTTCCTAGCCGCCTCACACAACACCCTCTTCTCCTTCTCCTCACCCTCACCATCCGTAACAACCTCCCCCACCCAAAAGTACTTCTTATGATTCCTAAAGAACCCCTCCCAATGCGCCACCTGCTTGTGCACCCTCGCCCTCGCCAGCCTTCTATCCTGCTCACGACGCACCTTCTTCTCCCCCGAGGTCATCCCCACATCATCCCCCTCCTCATCAACAGGGATGAACATCTCCTCAACGCCTTCCAGATCAGGCGTCAGGTCCTCCTGGAAGCAGCCAGTGACGAACGCGCGCGTGGCGTCGCGCCCGGCGAAGAAGTTGTAGTTGCCGCCAGGGCCGTAGACCATTCTGTTGGCGGAGACGTCGAAGATGGACCCGTTGACGGCGATGTAGAGCGGGAGGGTGGTGTCCGTGCCGTTGTAGAGGGTGAGTTGGGTGGGTGTTAGGTGGATGGGGCCTTGCTGGTGGGGGTGTTAGCTTGTTTTGCTTTTATTGATAGGTTGCTTGTGTATGTGGGTAGATAGATAGGTGGGTTATAACGAAGAAGTAATAGGGGAATGTCTACCAAATATTGCTTCATAACCGGCCACCGCGTATACCACGGTCTGTATCCCCACAGGACAGACTCGCCCGTCATGTAGTAGGACAGGCCACACGAAGCGACCACCAGGGTAAGCAGCACGCGGAAGATATCCAGAACGCTGATGCCGCCGCCGCGACTGCCATTGTTTTTCGAGCGGGGGGTGGCGGACGAGGATGGTGATTTGGGGGTAGCTTTCGCGGTCTGTCGCTGGCGGAGGTCCGACATGGTCGTTGTCGCTGAACTGGCGGTGCCAGTGTAGAATTGGCTTATGAGGGTGGTGTTGGGGGATCGATTGAGGAGAAGAAGAAAGTCATTTGGGATGGGGTCATTGCTTTCTCGGCGTTGCGGTAGATGGTGAAACGACTGGCGGCTCTTTTAGACCGAGGTCCTTCCAGTAAACTGCCTACTAGTAACTAACCATGAACAACAAACGCGTCTCTACAGAATCCCCCCAAACTCACCCACAACTAAAATGACCTTCAGCATCGAACTCACCAAACCCCGAAAACCCAATACAGAGCTCTCCTCCGAAATCCGCGCAAGCATCCTCCCCGGCCTACAAAACAAGATCCCCGCAGCCCAACTAGCAAAGCAGTTCGGCGTCTCCCGGACCACTATCTACGCTACAAGACAGCGTTTCCAACTCCATCAAACTGTCAAGTCTTGTCCTCGCAAGGGGAGGCCTGCAAAGTTGAGTGATGCGGCTGTACGTTATATATCGCTTATAGCGCGTCGACAGCCTGGGATCTCGTCGAAGACACTTATGGAAAGCGCTCCTGAGGGGGTCTCGGAGACGACGGTGAGGCGGGCTCTATGTGAGTATGGTTTACGCGAGGGGGAGGGCAAACTTTGGGTCGTGGGACGGCGAGGAAACGACGTGATAAAAAGGTTGAATAATGCCTTCATTGGGCATTCATCGTTTCCGACGAATGCTCACGTTGCGAGACATGTTAAGACGCAGATTCCGGATACAGATTATTTATTATGACATCAAATTACTTCGAAAATATCTTCATTCATAAGCACAAGGCTATTTCGTTTCCAACTAAAGCGCAACCTGTCATCCAAGTCGCCCATCGTATCAACCACTCCAACTGTCTATCCAATCCTCTATTATAGCCGCTTCCAACTCGCATCAATATCTAGAAAGAATCTATTAAACCACGTTAGCATAATTCAAAGCACACAGTTGAAAGCAAATGAATATTGTGGTATTTCTCTCAGACATCCAAGGAAGTAATGCGCACAGTGCACGTCTGAATTAGGTTCGATCGACGGCTAGCGTGGAAACTGCGAATGTAGGAAGTTTTTCATCATCGAGAAGGGATGTGAAGTAAAATATGGGATGGGAATGGGAATGATAGGTGCTGGTGTCCATAACATTCGCGAAGAGAAGAAAAAAACAAGCACTGCTTACCTTGCTCATAATTCTGGTGGAATATCCCTGCTGTAATTAGTGGTCAAACAACATTATGTTTGGGGACAATGTCCATGTCGGAAAACCGACGTTGGCTGGCAGGAAAATATTATGGGAAAGAGATGAGAAGGAGGGAAAGTAGAGCTTTTTGTAGTACGACAGAAAAAAAAAAAAAGTGTGGGTCAAGTCTCCGCCTAGTGCCGACTGCCTTGGTGCCTGAGGTGTCTGTTACTGTCAACCTAAGGCTGCCAGCATTATGGCCAATCGTGGATTATTGCTAGGGTATTCGGTCGCATGGATATTAAGCACCATTTGTGAACTTAACAATGCAACCATCAGAGAACTACCAGAGTCCTACCAAATCGCACAGAGGAGAGGTGGTGACTGAAAACAGGCCAGCCCACTACAAGGAACCGTACGGCGCAAGAAATCGAACCGGTACTTGATCAGTTAGATTTATTCGTCTGGCTGCCCTGACGCCTTTGTTATTCTTGGCTCAGGGTCCTGGTCTTGTTCCCAACTGCGAGAGAAAACATCATTCAGCGCCTCCTGGAAAGTGCGGCAGTTCATGTCGATCAGGCCTTTCTTTTCCTTCGCCTCGGGGTTGCGGATGACGGAAACGAGACATAGATATCTAGCACTGTCAGCGGGATTCGTTGTTATACTGAGAACGACATCACGTACTTGTTCATTTCGAGCAAATGTATCATCGTCTCATCATGCAGCACCACGTGGCTCTCGGCTTCCTGGCCCTGCTCGCCCCTAGGCTTGCGGTCGGGATGGTCCCACGAGTACAGCTCTGAAATGTCCACGATCACGTCGATGTAATCCGAACACATCTCGTAGCACGACATATCTACCGGCCTGGTGTCGGATGCAATGTAGATTTTGCTCAGCACATCAAATAAATAAGTCTTCTCAAAGCCGCAGTTGTTGGAAAGCGTATTGATCAAGTTCTCAAGGGTCGATAGATTAGGTATCAGCTTCTGAATGACCTTGCTAAAGGCCTCAAAAACGGAATAATCGTAGATGGATGTCAGATAGTAGTGCACAGGTGCGTTCTCGTATCCCGCATCGCTAAGCTCGTCCGAAATCAGCTGCACAATATCCTGGAATGTATCCGTGCGGTATTCATCCGAGAGCCCATCCACCTTGTGAATGAACACCTCAATGTTGATGTTGGGATAATATTGCTGGACCGTCAAGATTGTACGATTCAAGCGCGCGACCGCATCCAAGTAGTCATCCTGGGCGTCGATCACCCAGACGAGGGCACCCAGGCTACCAAAGATGTCCTCCAAGTCGAATGACGGCTCCAGGTACTCCAACTGGCCGGGGAAGTCCCACACTTGAAAATCCATGAACGAACTAGAAGGTGACCGGTCAGCACAAGGTCCGACACAGCAGAACTAGATCCACTTACTGGATAGAGTCCTTTTGGATGCGCGTGGTTGATTCCAAAAACAGTGTCTCATTTGGGGGCATTTTGTGAAAAACAACACTGGCAATGGAGGACTTTCCGCTCCTAAGATGGGTCAGTATACCGTAATCTTCATGCCGGAGAGGAAACCTACCGGCGCAGTCCCATGAGGAGAAGACGCGGTTTGGCATTTTGAGCTTTGCTCTTCGCGTGCGCGGACGGGGCCGCCGGCTGATTCGCAACCTGTAGGAGATCCTCCAAATTTAGCTCAGCACTAGATTTACACACGCGAGGTCTGCCATGCAACATGGATTCAGCGAAGACATGTCTCTCCGGGCCAGGGTCCAGGTACCTGGACCCGTGGCGTAAAGGGGTAATCATGAAAAGCAGAAGTCGGACTTGAAGGGGTCACGGGTTGCGAGTAGGGGATGACAGGCTCAAACACCAAACATATAGAAACAGTTCCTTTTATATGATAGATGATCACGGGATTGTGACAGCGAAAGAGACAGGCGTCCATAGGTGCCAAAGCACAGTTTGCGATACCCAACAAGATGACATGGCTGTGGTCAGGGTAGCAACGGGAAGCTGCATACTCCTGGAAACGCACGGAAGGGGCGTTCGTCTCATTTTACAACCAAGAGGGCCATGGCGTCTTGAAGTTCGGGTGCCCCTGGAGCAAAAATAAAATGAAGGTATCTCAGGGGTACTGCCATCGCACCACGTCATGGCAAGATCGGGACAAACACGGCCAAGGCATGAATCGGCAAGAACAACGCCGGAATCCCAACAAAGATTTCAGAAAATAGCTTCTTACCTCCATAATATAAGATCTTTGATCAATAGATTACAAAATCGGAAAATAAAGCATGGAAAGATTCTGGACGCCAAGTCAGCTTCGTGGTTCTATCTGGCAATGCCCGCTCTGACCCATCTTCGCGAATCCTATGTGAGGGCAACGTCATGGAACATACCAACAACAGCGCCGTGGCTCTTCTGTCGATTAACAGAGCTTGGAAATAAGAGGGAAAGAAGTAGACTATTTGTAATACGATGCCAAATATTTCACTTCTTTTGGCGAGCCTTCAATGGCATGGACAATGCCAGTCAGGGACCGTGTAACGTGAGCCCTAGGATTGATTGATTAAGCTCCTTGCTGCACAGGATCCGAAAGATAGTTCAGCACATTCCGACGATCATGGCTGGTAGACAAATTGTTCTGCCACACTGAGGGGGAGGAGAATTGGCGGGATGGTAAGAGGGTCCTGGATGATCCCCGGATTTATGTCCTACACATGAATGAGGTAGATGAGGGGAACCAGGAAGAGATGTGGGGGGTGGGGAAATGTTGGCCGTGGATGATGTTAGGTAGAGATCAGCGTCGAGAGTGGTCGTCAGCAATTCCAATTGACCGGATACATGCGAGATGGGATGGTTTGAGCGGAAACGACGTCTATCTCTGGCAAGTCGTGTCGAGTAAGAACGAGAGTTGCGGCCTGGAGTGGACTGACCGATGGAGCGGAGACCCCAGGCGACGGGCGAACCTCAGGCAGAGATAGCGAAAGCGGTGGGCGATCCCAAGGCTTGGCGGATTTGTCAGAGAAACAAACCCATTTTCTCTTCTTATCATTCCTAATCATTCCCAGATCTACATAATGAGATCATGATCTACTGTAGGATAGATAACTGGAGGTGGACATTCTAATAGTCTTGTTGCTGGGTTTGATATCTGTGGAGTAGTCATTGCAATTTATCAATCTGAACAGTCATTTCGACCATGCCGAGGTTCGTCATTGACAGGCCCTCTATTCGTCCGAGCGCCGACGTCCTCATAGGCTCATACCTATACTTATCATGACACTGGCATTCGCTACTTGTTATTCTATCAATAGATTACAATACATCAAATGTATTTTTATATAATTCCATGCAAATAACGACTCCAGCCTTGTCGGATCCCACGTGGTCCACGATAGCCGGTCCCGGTCACCTGATTGGTCACAGCCGTCTCCAACCTGAGGCGGCCGGGCCTTAGTATCTCATCCTCATTCAGGTCCGACATTGAGTCAGTCCGCTTCACTCTCCTGCTCTGTTCAGTCCAAATTGATTGAATTGTACTGGCATTTGGAATTGACAGGAGCTTTTTTGTGTTTTCCTTTGACATTTATCCAATTCCCGATATCCCTCTCCAGATGACCACCCTCATTCCCCGCGGGCCGTACTCCGAAGACGAGCTTGCCCAGCTCTACCCAAAGGAACTGAAGCTGCAGTTGGTGCAGGTGGTATGTCAATGCCCTCACAAATTACAGGATCAAAAATTGCTAACGGAAAGACACTGTATAGTTTCTTCGACATGGTGAGCTCCTAGTCTCGCACCATATTGCGCAAAATCCCTATTGACCGCTTCTTGTGTAGGTGAACGGACCCCAGTGTCATCGCGTTTCCAGAATGTGCAGTACCCTCTCGATCAATCTATAATTGTCTAATCGACATTATACTAACAGCACTTTCTATTTAGGCTGGCCTCGCTCCATGTAAATCCCCTCCGAACCCGATTCCTTCCCAACCAAACAGCTAACTGACGACTTTCCCCCGCAGACTGGTCATACTGCAATGTCGCCCGCCAAATGGTCCAAATGGCCGCAAGTCGGAAAGATCTCAAGGCTTGGAATGGATTCGAATTCCGTCGCAAGATGGAGTCGTTCGGAGATAGAGACCAGGCCGTAGTGACAGTCGGTCCGAGAGGCGATATAGAGGGCATCTGGCAAGTTGCAATTCCGAAACATCACCTGCGGAGAACCCACCGCTGACGGAAACGCATATAGTCAACACGGTGAATTGACCGACAAAGGACGGGAAACCACCTTCGCGCTTGGGCAGCGTCTCCGACACCTGTATATCGACCAGCTGGGCTTCCTGCCCAAGATCAAGTCCGACACCGAAGACATGTACCTCCGTGCGACCCCCATTCCCCGCGCGCTCGAGTCCCTCCAAGAGGCCTTCTGGGGCATGTACCCGCCGAATGCGCGAACGCAGGACTTCCAGCCGCCGGTGATCGTCGCTCGGTCCGTATCAGATGAGACTCTGTTCCCGAATGAGGGCAACTGCCGTCGATTCAGACAGCTCGCCCGGTTGTTTGCCGACCGAGCAGCACAGCGATGTACGCGGCATTCTCCCTACCCAGCAAACACAATCTAACCTAACAAACCGGATAGGGAACAACACGGAACAAATGGATTACATCAACAAGAAAATCTCCAAGTGGATGCCTGAAGAATCCCCCAAGGTAGCCGTCGACGCGCACCCGCGTCTCTCAGGAATCATGGACACGATCAACGCCACAGACGCCCACGGACCCGCCACCAAGCTCCCCGCCGAATTTTACGACAAGACCGCAAGGCAATACATGAACGACATCGCCGTCGACGAATGGTTCAGGGGCTACAACGAAAGCAACGAATACAGAAAGCTCGGCATCGGCGCCCTCCTGGGCGATGTCGTCGACCGCATGGTCAGCACAGCCGTCGACGGCAGCTGGAGCAGCGCGACGTCAGCATCAGGCACCTCCAGCGAAGCGAAGCACATCAAAATGGCCCTCAGCGGCTGCCACGACACCACCCTCGCCAGCATCCTTAGCAGCGTCGGCGCCTTCGACTCCAAATGGCCACCCTTCACCTCCTCCATCGCCGTCGAGCTCTTCTCCCGCGCCCAATCCGCCGCTCCCTCCTCCCAACCCACCTCCCCCAAAGACGCAGGCCTTTTCTCCCTCTTCTCCAACCAGCCATCCCCCACAGAAACAGCCCGCACACCGCTCACCGACCTCCCATCCTCCGCACGCACCGCCCTCCAATCCCACTACGTCCGCATCCGCTACAACGACGTCCCCGTGCGCATCCCCGGCTGCGCCGCCAAGCCCGAGAACCACCTCCCTGGAGACGACACCTTCTGCACGCTCGACGCGTTCAAGGAGATAGTGGATAAGTTCACGCCGAAGAGCTGGACGAACGAGTGTATGCGGAATTTGGATCAGGGGCTGTATGGGCCTGACGGGCGGGAGAAGATTCCTGCTGGGTTTTAGTTTATAGGCTGGATTATTTACCCATGAGTGGGGAAGAGAAGAAGATGATGAGGATGATGATGAGGATGATGTCTGGATGAGTGGAGTGGTTCAGGGTAAGACTATGTGGTCAGTAACATCTAGTATGAATAGATACCTGCTATATCTGCTACGGTCTAGTAGGTTAACTACATGCTTGGTTTGTAGTCTCGTCTCATATTTCTAATTCTCGTACTATAGGCTAAAGGACAGAAGGTCAGCGGCTCTGTTCTATTATATCTGGTACAATGAAGAAACTCTCCGGGGAAGAGATGTGTATATAGTACAATCCGTATCTAGAATGTCTATGTATATACAAGACCAACAACAACAACAATATGCATCTTCGTATAGAACAGTTCTAGTTTTATTTCAAGACAACCGAAAAAAACCCTCAAATGCAATCGAGCTCATAAGAAATCAACAAATAGAAATCAAAGCACCATATACAATACTAAAAAGAGTGGGGGGATTTCTAGTCGGAAATCAAGATATAAACAAGCCTAAATCCCAAACGAAAAACTTCCTCCAAAGTAATCGTAATCACCGCCCACTAACATCTCCCTCCCCATCACTAGTCCCCCACCCATCCTCACTCTCACTCCCAAACCAAACCGCCCTCTCCTTAGCATCGTACAACTCCTCGATCTCCCCAGCGGAAGGCAACGGCGTCGGAGTCGTCGTCTGCTCGGTCTTCTCCTCCGCCGCCTTGGCCTTGGCCTTCCCCATATGCTTCAGCCTCTTCGCCTCCGTGAGGAGCGCCTCCTCGCGCTCGCGGAGCAAGCGCTGCTTCTCGGCCATCAGGGCGACGTGGCGCTCGTGGCACTCGTGGAGCTTGTCGATGACGCCGGCGTAGGATTGGGTCGTGGGCATTTCGCCGACGCGGATGCGCATGTAGTCGTAGGCTGCGACGATGGGGATGGTGAGTTTGGGGCTGCGGTAGATGGTTATGGGGGCGTTGTTGGGCGTGTTGTTGGTGGCGGTGGTGATGGGGGTTGGGTCGTTGTCGATGTCGTCGGGGATGTCGGGGGTGACGAGTTGGCCGGAACCGCCGGTGGGTTTGATATTAGGT